CATGTCTGTTTGTTACATCAGTTTAGGTTTATAAAATAAAACACATTGGTCTAATTATTAAAAGGATTTCTGTTTGTTAGATTAGTATTTGTTTAAGAAACAAAACACATTGGTCAAATTATTAAAAGGATGTCTGTTACTTACATCAGTATACGTTTATAAAACAAAACACATTGGTCTAATTATTAAAAGGGATTTTTGTTTGTTAGATCAGTAGGCCTATACGTTTGTTATAACTAGCAGTGCGTCATAGAAAGACTAATCAAGACTTTAGGCAGGAGTCGCGACAATAAGATTTAGCCGTGTCAGTAATAGATTCACTTTAACAATTTGTGATTAGTAGATTGGAAGATTTTTTACCTTAATTTTACAAACGTGGTAAAACAATTTTTTCATTATAAACTGACAACTTTTAAAACTCAAATTTTTATACTCACCTCCACCATTTCTGATACAAACATAAGGAAACCTCCATACAGTCCCCAGCCCAACACAATAGCCAAGCGAGGAAAGTAGGTATTCAGCTTTTCTTGACCAGGTGTGTCTTGCAGGATCATCCGGTGCCTTTAGGTCTACTTCCGGTTTACCTTTCGTAAAGGGTTGACTTTGCTCGCTCAATTGGAACTTGAAAGTGTTTTCTTCGACACGCTTGTCTCGACAATTTTGAAAAAGAATGCTCTCCTTCGTCATCTTGAGTTTTCTGGATCGTTTAGTTTATTTTATGACTGAAACGAACATCAAAAATAGGATCTTATTACTATCTAAACAAAATCATAACGTACACGTAATTGTATGAAAATGTAAGGTATCTGTCCCGTCGCAATGACCAACGCAATCCGTTGGGAAAGAACTGGACATTCAGAGTTTCGTTCATGCGTTTATTCGGGGGGGGGGGGGGCTCCGAACGAAATGGAATTTATATAGAAAATCTATACTTTTAACCGTGTCCGCCCCCCCCCCCCCCGGTAAATGTTTACCGCCCCCCCCTCCCCGAAAATATCAAGTGCCCCCCCCCCCCCCCCCCGGAAGAAAAAAGTCTGGAAGAAACACTGCTGGGCATCTCTTTACAAATTAGGCAATTAGAAAGAGAAAATGGACTGATACACATTTCGCCCATTAGTATCACCTGGAAACAGAGGAGTCGCGAAGTGGGTGCGGGGAATGCGGACCGCATTGGGTGACACTATTTAGGGGGGGAAGTGAAACCGAGACAAAAAATGTGCGCAAGATATACATAATACATTTTTTGCCAGTTATTGAATGGTTAATTAGAGTTAAATTTATTTTTAGTTCATAATGACGATCACAACAAGGGAGGGGGGATGACAACATACATAACCTGCTAACTATAGAGAAAACAATGCTACACCAAGCTGTATTAACAACAGTCTATAGATAAACAGCATTCGATTAAATGTGAACACCTTAATCTTTTACCGAGGGGGTGGAGGGTGAAACCAACTGCAAAATTTACAGAAAAAAAGGGGGCGACACCATGATATGTCGCACCGGGTGACACCCAACCTAGCAACGCCACTGCCTGGAAGGTATTTTAGTGACACCCCCCCCCCCCACCCCAAGGCAGTGCAAGAAAATCCTAAACACACCACCTTGAAAACTAACACAAAAATGGGCTACACAAGTTGAAAAAAAATTGCCCAGTACCGAGGACTCGTTATAATTATAACTTATGTTGGTCATACCACAACATGCGGGATAAAGGAAAGAATATTATTAGGATAAATTCTAATATATTTTGTTTTTAAATCTACGTGTTGTCCCTCATGATAGACCCTATATAGATTACAGAACACATTTACACAAAACTTGCAAAACTAATCTAAGTAAAAGTAGAATTTTTAAAAATATATTCAAAGGAAAACTTTATATATATATATATATATATATATATATATATATATATATATATATATATATATATATATATATATATATATATATATATATATATATATATATATATATATATATATATATAAAATTTTAATATTTTATTATGAGTTTCCTGCAAGTACTATCAGTAACTATTTTAAATGTAATAACAATATCAATACATAGATTCTATATGAATGAACGATTGTTCATGTGTGTCGGTGGTGGTTTTTTTAAGTTATTGTCTTAGTATGAATTTTTGAATCTACTGTTTTCTTATTAAAACTATAGGAAACAGAATCAAGTTACTAATAATAGCCACATGTTATTTATCTTATATAGTAAACTTGTCCATACTGAAAATAGATAATTACCTCTCAATTAGTCCACTTGTCCAATGTAGCTAGCATTTTTTTTTAATGTCGACATTGCGTAATATAATTTGTCTGTATTTTAATGTAGGTGGGCTGGGTAATCACGTTTTTAATCAGTAGGGATGTGCAGGGCATAAGGAGCATATTAGACAGGGATATCGTCCATAACGTATTCAGCGGGACATCAGCTAGTGTGAAACAGGTGGTGATGGCTATTACGTGTCGTGTTGATGCATTAATCCTGCATTTGGGACAACTTAATGGCTTCAAAGAACAATCAACGGTCTAGTATTACATGACATGCCGTGAAAGATCTAATGCAGATTGTGTGTTTATAATTAACGGGCACTTATTGTCAAGTGTTAATATATATATATATATATATATATATATATATATATATATATATATATATATATATATATATATATATATATATATATATATATGAGGTAACATATTTTGTTACAAAACTTATTTTTTTTTCAGAAATTTAATTTGAAAATTTGGTTTTAGTTGAACTTGAAAACATTGTGCCTTATATTGAAAAAGAAGTGATGGCGGTTTTGAGCCAATGCCAAAACGGAACCAATAATTTAAAAAATTCAAGAGATCAAAGACAAAGTTTCTCTTTGCCCTGTTTTCAACATTAACTTCTGTTGTATTCCATTAGGTCTTCGCGTGTCTCAACAGACTTAAAACAAAGTGGTGTGAGGGATGGGAGGGGGGGGGGCGGACAAAAGTCTGGCCGTAACCCACGGGTGTAGCGGCTGGCGACAAGCGTGGGTGAAATGCTATTGTTATTGTCCTTACGGTCTGGTTGGATGGATGAAGAGCAATTATTAATCAGTAATCATTTAAAGAATTAAAGCCCTTACTAAAGGGAGATAATTTATGTTAGCTGTATAGCAATAATTGAACCAGTAATGCTCTTAGTAAAGGGAGATAATTTATGTTAGTTAATTGTGAAATTAAAAAGACAGTTGTATAGCAATTATTGAACCGGTAATGCCCTTACTAAAGGGAAATAATTTATGTATGTGTGTATATTGTGAAATTAAAGAGACAGCTGTACAGCAATTATTGAGATGAACGGCTATATTTCATGATGATAATGTCATGACGGTTGTTACGTCCGGGTTAGATTCGAATTCAAGAACGACTCGGATTAACGTTCGATACGTTTATTAGGTCTCACATATCACATTACAACATAGCCCTCGACCTAACCCTGCCAACTAACTAACCCCTGACAACCATTCACTCCAGCTTTTATACCGCATTCGACCTTGGGATAACAATACACAAACACACCGGGGTTAACAATACTCTATGGTAAACTCAACTCACACACGCACTCTCCCCTAATTCTAGATCATTCTATCCTATTCTAGTCTAACCTACAACTGACCCGTAACAACGGTCTGGTGTAGAAATTAAAGTTGCAGTAACGCTCATTGTATTTATTATTTGTGGAGATGTCAATACTTGTAAATACAACACAAACATATATACATTTTTAAAAATAACAATTTTGAAGTATAAATTTATTCCCATATATAACATTCTGAATTACAAACTTTGACAATAATAATAAATTATGGATGTGTATTAGCGCTAACCCAGTCCTCTGTTCCCCAGGGGCTACAAATAAATGATCAGCGCTAACACCGGCTGTGTGGGGTGGGTCCAGTGGTTGACACGTGACGTGTGTAGGTTTTGTACTCCTCCCTGCGCGTCACGTCCCCAGGGCACCATTCAGCAGAGGGTGAGCACGTATGACGTAATCTCTGAAGGAAAGATGAGCAGTCAAATGGATGGTGGAGGTCTGATAGAGAGATGAAATGTATGGTGGGGTCTGATGTAAGGATATAAGGATGTAAGGATGTAAGGATGTAAGGATGTAAGGATGTAAGGATGTAAGGATGTAAGGATGTAAGGATGTAAGGATGTAAGGATGTAAGGATGTAAGGATGTAAGGATGTAAGGATGTAAGGATGTAAGGATGTAAGGATGTAAGGATGTAAGGATGTAAGGATGTAAGGATGTAAGGATGTAAGGATGTTAGGATGTAAGGATGTAAGGGTGTAAGGGTGTAAGGATGTAAGGATGTAAGGATGTAAGGATGTAATGTATGGTTGGGTTTAATGTAAGGAAAAAAATGTATGGTGGGGTCTAATGTAAGGATGTAATGTATGGTGGGTTCTGATGTAAGGAAAAAATGTATGGTGGGGTCTGATGTAAAGAAAAAATGTATTGTCTAAGGATCGAATGTATGGTGTAGACTGTTTACCAATGAACCAATGACAATGTTTGTCTACCTACCCTTTTCACACACCTGTTTCATATACCTGTACACCCATCTGTTTCATGAACATGTAAACCCACCTCTTTCATATACCTGTACACCCATCTGATGGATATAACTGTACACCCACCTGTGTCATTCACTTCCATACCCACCTGTTTCATTCACCTACACACCTACCTGTTTCATTACCTACGCACCTACCTGTTTCATTAACCTACACATCCACTTGTTTCATTAACCTACACAACCACCAGTTTCATTAAGCTACACACCCACCTGTTTCATTAACCTGTTTGTCTACCTACCTTTCTCACACACCTGTGCACCCACCTGTTTCATGAACCAGGTGCACACGCGGTGCACCCAACTCTTTTAGCAGCATTTACACCCACCTGTCTCAAGAACCAGCACACCCACCTGTTTTAGCCACCTGTGGAACCTCCTGTTTTCGTCACCTGTGCACCCACCTGTTTCAGACTTCCAGACGACCTCGCCACCTGCAGAGCCGCAACTGCCGGGATAGGCAGGAACCAGAAGACGGCTATAAACCAACCGAAGGCGATTTCACCAGGACCGTAGATGTAGCCGTCAAACACGGGCGCCTCGTAGGTCGCCAGGGACGCACACAACAACAGCTGCGGGCCGACAAATAAACATAACATATTTAACAAGTACTGATTTGATCTATGTAAACTATAATTTTAACAACTTTTACAAAATGTTTTGAAATTTTTAGACAAAAATGCAACACAAACAAGACATACTATTACTTTTTCCCTTAAAATATAAAATCAGCAGCTTATTAAAAAATTTAATTTTTTTTTCTGAACGCATTTTTAGACCTCTTCATTGGTGGGCTTACACCTACTTAATGGTTTAACTCTAGTGCACGGGTTCCCAACCTGGGGGTCGCGACCCCCCTGGGGGTCGCGAAGGTCTTTCTGGGGGGTCGCCAACTGGTATACTAAACCTTAGTAATTTGAAACAAAACATAAATATTTAGAAGAATTTTTTAAATTCGGCTTCATTAACATCACTGGAAATGTAATAGAGAAGAAACAAAGCGCACTGTACAAAGTTGTTCTCAGTAACGAATCTATGAAATCTTCAAAACTAAAACGTCATTTGAGACGTGTCATTCGGAACACACCAAAAAATATATGGAGTTCTTTCGTCGGTAATAAGCTAGTTGCAAACGCCAGAGGCTTGATCGAACAGGAAGTTTTCACCAGCATTAGTGCAAGCATCAAATGAAGTCGCGATAGAAAATGCCAAGCAAAAAAAAAAAAAAAAAACAATAGGAGAAAATATTATCAAACGCTGCATGTACGTAAATGTTAAATAACACATTTTTATTGAAATTAAGCTTTCACCATTGTTTGCTTTTCAAGATGATAAATCAACAGACGTGAGTTCGTGTTCGCAGCTGCTGGTCTGTGTCTATATTCAGGCGGACGATAGCAAAGAAGAGGTTTTTTTTGTGAAGATAGCATGGAGAAAATAAATATCTTTTTTGAAACTGGATGATTAAATTGGGTTAGAACGGCTGTGGGGGTTTGTACGGATGGTACGCCATCTATGTTTAGCTCAAAATCGGGCTTTCAGAAAACAGAAAAGATTTAGCTCCCTAACCACTGCCCTGACCAATCGACATCAAGAGTCCATTGCTAGTATAAGTCGTAAATTATATAAAATCTGGAGCCTTCAAAGAACTGAGCAAAAACATTAATATAGATCACGAGGTTCTGCTGTTCTACACTACAGTACGCTGGCTGTCAAACGAAATGTTGTAAATTGTGTTTTTGAATTGATATCTGATATCAAATTGTTCTTGGGAGTGCAAAGGAAACAAGACTTTTTGGTATACTTAAAATGACATGGAGTGGTTGGAGAGAGTATCATACCTAGCAGATGTGTTCGAACATCAAGATAAGCTTAACCTGAAGCTTCAGGGAAAATGATCGAATATTATAACTTTCCATGATAATCTCGGGGCATTTTTATCATAGCTGCAAAATCGGTAAAGAAAACAAATCTTGGAAATATTGTAAATTTGAGAAACTCTGCGGTGTGGTAGATGAATCTGATTGTGAGATAATTAAAATTTTGAAAGAAGCGATTTCTGGGCATCTTGAATCTCTTGAAAACGAACTGCATCGCTATTTCTCTGAGCTTAAAAAAGAAGAATCTGCATTTACGCATTACCCATTCTCTTCTTCCCTTAATGTTGCCAGCATTCCCGATGAATTACAAGATGAATTCTTTGATTTGCAGAATGATTCCGTGTAAGATGAAAAACTGCAGACACAATTTTGGTGTAGTATTCACCATTCATACCCAAACGTAAAATTTATTGACTTTTCGAGAATATATTTATTTTCAACACTATTCTTTGATTAAAAACAAAATTAAGATAATTATAATGACATAGGTTGGCGTTAACAAATTTTTTTTAAAATTAAAAACTTAACCACGAAGGTTTAGCGAATAGTATGCAATTTTACTCATGCTATTAAAACAGTTATCAAGAGTAGTTCATATTGAAAGTCTACTAGAAAATCTTATTTTAGTGCTTATTAATTTCCATACTAATTTCAGCTTTTTAATTCTATGGGGGTCGCGGGTCACTTACTTTTTATAAAAGGGGTCGCCACTCGAAAAAGGTTGGGAACCACTGCTCTAGTGGTTTTTCAGGCTACAGTCTGTGGTATCGAAGTTCCCCCACTGTCTGATGTGAGGCTGAGCACATTCTATCTACTCTCTCTCTCTCTCTCTGTCTCTCTCTCTCTCTCTCTCTCTCTCTCTCTCTCTCTGTCTGTCTGTCTCTCTCTCTCTCTCTCTGTCTCTCTCTCTCGCTCTCTCTGTCTCTCTCTCTCTCTCTCTCTCTCTCTCGTCTATACAGCTGAGTGTCCTGCTTAACTTGTCAAATTACAATAATTCATATATTAAATAATGCAATTAACCGCTTTTGACATGTATGAATAATAGTAGTACATGTATTTCCATAAAACTGCGCCTGATATTACTGAATAACAAACGGGATCGATGTACTTCAATAAACTACGTTTTACGTATTCAAACTTACTGAATAATATAACAAAGTTGACGTATGTCCTAAAAACTACGTTACACATATTCAAACTTACTGAATAATAAAACAGCACAGTTGCATTAAAAAAAAAAAACTTTATGGAGCTTAAACTTACCCAATAATAAAACAGATTCAAAGCACTTCTATTAAACTGCGCTAAACATAACTTAAACTTACTGAATAACAAAGAGGGTCGATGTATTTCCACAAGATAACAAAAATATAAGGCGGTCTTTTACCACTCATAAAAGCAATATCGTCTAGCATTCTCTCTGCTCCTGAAATATTTAAGTAGAATAGGCTTCATATGAAGTTTTTGCAGGTAAATATAAATGTATATTGGGATAAAATTTAAAATTCATTAAAGATGAGACGGAGTGGCCTAGCGGTAAAGCACTAGACTGCTAACCCGAAAGTCTCGAGTTCGAATCCGAAATCATGTCAATAGAACGTCCTTGAATCAAACCAGCTCTGATGGGTACCTAACTCAAGTAAGAAAAAGTAATGGCGGCTGGGCATAATGCTGACCAGACTATCCCTTCAGAAACAAGTGAACTATATTTCACTTGCCCCATAGATAGTCAGAATTGAAAGTGAACTTTGCTTACTAAAGATGAGTTTTATCAACAGAAATATAAAAATATCTTGATCTATAATTGTATACAATGATCTACAAATCTATAAATAATATACCCATTCGCTACCGTTTTTTAAAAGATGCAATTGAATGCAACTAAAAGTGAGACAATATTTATTTTGGGTCCCCTCTTTCTAGTCAGGGAAAGGGAAAGAGGGGTGCACAAAACAGACAGGAAGGCGAAGTCTTCTTGTAGGGGTGGAGACAGCAGGGAAGTCTTGGGAGGCTGCAAAATCAACAACCGGGGAACGGACAAAATGGAAAATTATGGTTGAGCCACAATGCTCCAAATGGACTAAAGATCATTAAGTCAAGTCCTGTCTATTCAACTGGGTCTAGAACTAATTTATTCAACACTTAACCTGAATTTTAATTCATTGATTTCAATGTGTTGTGTAGTTACTGTATAGCCAGCCAACCACGACTTAAAGCCATACATTTGAATGTGTTGTGTAGTTACCGTATAGCCAGCTAACCACGACTTAAAGCCATAGATTTAAATGTGTTGTGTAGTTACCGTATAACCAGCCAACCACGACTTAAAGCCATACATTCGAATGTGTTGTGTAGTTACCGTATAACCAGCCAACCACGACTTAAAGCCATAGATTTGAATGTGTTGTGTAGTTACTGTATAGCCAGCCAACCACGACTTAAAGCCATACATTTGAATGTGTTGTGTAGTTACCGTATAGCCAGCCAACCACGACTTAAAGCCATACATTTGAATGGGTTGTGTAGTTACCGTATAGCCAGCCAACAACGACTTAAAGCCATACATTTAAATGTGTTATGTAGTTACCGTATAGCCAACCAACCACGACTTAAAGCCATAGATTTTAATGTATTTTGTAGGTACCGTATAGCCAGCCAACCACGACTTAAAGCCATACATTTAAATGTGTTATGTAGTTACCGTATAGCCAACCAACCACGACTTAAAGCCATAGATTTTAATGTATTTTGTAGGTACCGTATAGCCAGCCAACCACGACTTAAAGCCATACATTTAAATGTGTTGTGTAGTTACCGTATAGCCAGCCAACCACGACTTAAAGCCATACATTTGAATGGGTTGTGTAGTTACCGTATAGCCAGCCAACCACGACACACTCCAATGCACCAATGAACAAGGCCGTGACAGCAGAGACGTACCAATCAAAGATTTGAAACAAATACATTCCACCCTGTATACAAAACATATTAATTGCTTCATATATATATATATATATATATATATATATATATATATATATATATATATATATATATATATATATATATTATACATATATTATACATATATATATATATATATATATATATATATATATATATATATATATATATATATATATATATAGTACCTAACTAATGAGGCAGCTGACTTCACAAAGATCTTAAGCCCTAATTGTCAACTTTTCATAATAATTAGTTTCTTTTAGACATCTTTCCGGAAAGGGGGGCACTTCCAATTGGAGCTCTCCAAGGACCCCTCACTCGGATGAAATAGAACTTTTTTTTATTTATGTAGAAAATATATTATATAACTATCTAGTCTCTCCCCCCCCCCCCCCCCATTGAACCATTAATCAATTTTAGCAGCTTTTACAGATGAATGTAACAAAAAAAAAGCATTAGATGCTTATTGTTCTACGGTCTAAGTCCGCCACAGCACGTCATTTCAACCTCCGATCGAACAAATGTTTTTTCCTAATCTCGGATATTGGCCAGCCAGTTCGCAAACTCGCCAGTAGCCAACAGGCAATATCCGAATCAGGAGATCATGAGCAGACTTTGAATTTACATACAGTAATGGTTTTGAGAATTAATTGATCAAGCGAAAGTGATAATTACCCGAGTTGCAAAGGGCAAAGCAGTAATAAAAGTTAAAACAGCGAAAGCTATTTTAATCCATAAACCTCTTTTTGTCACAAAGCCTGGTCGTATGTCGAGTAGAAAGGTCAAAACTATTTCCACAGTAACAAACTGAAAAGAAATTTCATAAACATAATTAGCAAATACTATGTTAATATATAGCAATTAGGGCTTATTTGTTTTAATTTTTTATTTATAAGGAAAGGAGGAGTCAAGTTTTAAAATTTTCATTGTATTAATTTTTTCTTCTTCTTCTTCATTCTGAATTTTTTAGTGATGCAAGGGATTAGTCTTTATCTGCCAGGGGGTTTGAACTCGAGACTTTTTCAAATTTAACAACCAAAAGCTTTGCCGACTCGACTACGCATCCAACACAATTAAGTACACGTGTCAATGGTTATGTGCCAATGAATCCATTGACTTCGATTTCAGCCTACTTTTTTTTGGATTTGCTTCCATAGCCTTTGTCCAACCAAGAACAAACTACAAGACAGCAGTTGTTTGATTTTGGAGTTGTCTCCTAGAAGAGTGGCTGTCCCCAGCTAACGAACCTCATCTGCCCGAGGGTTCGAACTCTAGACTTCTCGGTGTAGCAACCATGAGCTTTACCGACTCGACCACGCCGGCATTAAACTTATAAACATTGGCTTATAGACATACGGGCTGCAAACGCATTATTTATGCAGAAATATATCAATGTACAGATGATCATTTCATTAAGTTACCCATTCGGACAGTCAAAAAAGAGCAGAAGAAGTGTTCAACTGTATCTGAGAATAAGGCAAATAAACGGATAATATGATCAGTTCAACGCACAGCCGCTGCTACTTTCTATAACAGGTACCCTTTAGAGCTGGGTGGGCTCAGGGACGTCATCGTGGTCGATACTTTTTGGCTAGCAGTCGCGTGTTCTACCATTGTTCAATTTAGTGGATGTGTAAATAGTATTATCTTCGGTGACTGTGGTAGCCTACACGCTTTTGTGACTTTCGGATAAAGCCAGTATTTCTAACTAGATATCACGTTAAATCGCGAAAATATTAATCACGTTCGTAACAGTGTAGTGTTCACGTTAATTTATTGGTGTATATGCTTGTCAACAAAGCCTAAATCTACTATATTAGTACGTTTTTTTTTCTTACCTGCGAGTCTAGGGCGACTGTAAACAACATGAGAAAAAACAAGACGCCCCACAACTGTGGTACAGGGAGGTAAGCGATGGCTTCAGGATAGACAACAAACGCTAGACCTGCGCCTATAAATAGAAATACATATTTTAACTAGAGTTAGCTCGTGAGAACTTGAATCAATGAGACCCTAAAACTGCAAGTACTAGGTGCAAAAAAACATACGAATGATCTATCCACATGATATTGTGTATGTGTATACATATAGTAACACAAATGCGTGTGTACGCGGGTGTGTGCGTATACCCGTGCGTGTGTGTGTGCCTTTGCGTTTGAGTTTGCTTATGCTAGTGTGTATGCGTGTGCGTGTGTGCGTGTGCGTGTGTGTAGGTGTAGGTGTAGGTGTAGGTGTAGGTGTAGGTGTAGGCGTAGGCGTAGGCGTAGGCGTAGGCGTAGGCGTAGGCGTAGGCGTAGGCGTAAGCGTAAGCGTAGGCGTAAGCGTAAGCGTAAGCGTAAGCGTAAGCGTAAGCGTAAGCGTAAGCGTAAGCGTAAGCGTAAGCGTAAGCGTAAGCGTAAGCGTAAGCGTAAGCGTAAGCGTAAGCGTAAGCGTAAGCGTAAGCGTAAGCGTAAGCGTAAGCGTAAGCGTAAGCGTAAGCGGAAGCGTAAGCGGAAGCGTAAGCGGAAGCGGAAGCGGAAGCGGAAGCGGAAGCGGAAGCGGAAGCGGAAGTGGAAGTGGAAGTGGAAGTGGAAGTGGAAGTGGAAGTGGAAGTGGAAGTGGACGTGGACGTGGACGTGGACGTGGACGTGGACGTGGACGTGGACGTGGACGTGGACGTGGACGTGGACGTGGACGTGGACGTGGATATAGAGGTGGACGTGGACGTGGACGTGGACGTGGACGTGGACGTGGACGTGGACGTGGACGTGGACGTGGACGTGGACGTGGATATAGAGGTGGACGTGGACGTGGACGTGGACGTGGACGTGGTCGTGGACGTGGACGTGGACGTGGACGTGGACGTGGACGTGGACGTGGATATAGAGGTGCACGTGGACGTGGACGTGGACGTGGACGTGGACGTGGACGTGGACGTGGACGTGGACGTGGACGTGGACGTGGACGTGGACGTGGACGTGGATATAGAGGTGGACGTGGACGTGGACGTGGACGTGGACGTGGACGTGGACGTGGACGTGGACGTGGACGTGGACGTGGATATAGAGGTGGACGTGGACGTGGACGTGGACGTGGACGTGGACGTGGACGTGTAGGCTTGGAAGGCTACCGGTAAGTGCGGGTTCTGGTGTGTTTCTTGTTTTGTCTAGGCATGTAATGGTGTGTATAGGTGTGTAGATTTAAATGTCCCCGTATGTACACGTATACATTTTTATGTATGTATCATTTCTATTTCAAATGTAGGAGCGCATGTCCCCACCCACTCTTAATACGCCCATGGTTATCAATCTCCTTGTCCCATAACAAACTTTCACCAATACAATATTTTACAACTTAAGCCCTTTGTTTACAATTCTTCTTCTCCTCTCCTCTATGATTCATAACAATCAAAAGTCAACTTTTGTATACCTGCATCAGCGAATTTCTCAACAGGTACATTCAGGTTGTAAGCCATGTGACCTACGATGGAGAAGATGGCGAACCCAGCGAAGAGACTTGTACCTTCACAAACCAGCGTCAACATAACCGAGTCCCTGTGGAATGTGAAGTGAAAAGGTTGTTATTTTTTTGTCTTAGTAAGTGTCATCGGAGAACTAAATTTTGTCGGTTGGAAGCAGAGGCGTAGCGACCCTTCCCGGCTCCCGGGGACAAACTTTCAATTTGGCGCCCCCTAGAGAGCAACTTTGCACCTCCCCCCCCCTCAACGTTTCGATGTACACCCCCCCCCCCCCCAAACTTTTGATTTGCACCCCCACCCTCAAACTGCAAAAAATGCAGCTAAATTGACATTTTAATTTGTTTTACAACCCATTTTGGCGCCCCCTAAGGTCGGCGCCCGGGGACATATGCCCCCCCCCCCATCGCTACGCCTCTGGTTGGGAGTAATCTAATTAGAACGTCCACAAAAAAAATCGGATTTTAGACCCCCCGTCCACACGCGTCCACTTTCGACGGAAATCCTCAAACTCTTTAAAAAGACGTCTTCCGATGTAATTTATTGCACATTAATTTACAGTATACAAGTAGTGTTACAATCCCTGGGGAATGTAAGTCGAAAGTCCTTTTGTTGTCCTACTGAAGATTCGAATTGCGTATACAGCAATGCCCAGTCAACATTGTTTTTTTTTATAGAAATGATGCCACGACTCATTAAAACAAACTGGGATAATCAGTACTGACGCAAAAGTAAAACATCATAAGATCAGAGTTTCTTCCAGGCATCTCTTCGGGCACCCCCCCCCCCCCTCCCGAAAAAATTCTACCCCCCCCCCCCCACCGAACGAAATGAAACTTATATAATTTATATAGAAAATATATACTTTTATCAGTGTCCGCCCCCGAAAAAAAGTCTACCCCCCCCCCCCCCCCCAAAAAAAAATTCAAGTGCCCCCCCCCCCGGAGAAAAAAGTCTGGAAGAAACACTGCACAAGATACACATGAGAAAATAACTTAGCGTTAGTGATCAAAGTCAAACTTTGGTAATTTTGTAACAATATATCTACTCTGTTGTCTGTAGGAAGTAGAGTTTCCCTTCCAGCAACGGAATATGAAGACGTATTCGAACTCGAGACGTATGCGTTAGCAGGCTAGCTCTCTACCGCTAGACCATTCCGTCCCGGAAGTTTATCTTATTAGTTACAATAATCACACCCCTACTGTTAGTCTAACAGTTCTAGACTGCTAGACTGCTGTAGATGTTACCTCAAGCAGTTGTTATTGAACTTGTTGTAGCTTGCGATGGTGGCGAGGGCGCCCCATATCGGACCCAGGGAGTAGACGACTTGTAGGCTGGCCTCTAGCCAAGTCTGGACCAATAGGAGTTTACTGGATGGATGATATAGATATATGGGATACAAGGGAAATATACTGGGATATGGGACAATGGTTGTGGATGGGACACATATGGGCGATGCTCGGATATTGGGCTTAGATGTACAAAAAAGATATAGGGGGACACACGAGGAATACACAGGGATCTGGGACTAACGTAAAAAAGAATGTGTAATGGGACATAGCTGGACAATACTGAAATATGGGGTATAGCTGGACATTACTGGGATATGGGACATAGCTGGACATTACTGGGATATTGGACATTGCTGGACAGTACAGAGAAATGAGACTCATAAACAAAACTAATATGTTCGACAAACATGGACAAACTTGAGACATTTGAACTTTTAAGACGAGTCCACACTAATTGAATACACTTCTAATTTTAAACAAGGTAAATTCTACATAATATATTCTAGAATTCTAGAAGATACAAATATTTATAGAAATCATATAATTTAAAGTTCCAATGAACATATTTTTTTATTTATCATTAATAACATTCTTATTTTTCTTATTACTATTGACATGATTATTCCTTTTCCCTTATCTAACGAAAAAAATAATCATATAACACATATAACTACACACTACCACTAGGTATAGACTGTGTTTTAGACCGGACAGTACCTGAAATCTGGCCAGATGTAAAAGAGCACACCGTCCACTGCACCAGGCAATGTCGCACCTTTAATAATTAAAACTGTAATCAGTATGTACGGCAAGGTGGCGGTCACGTACACTACCTGGAAGAAACAGTAAATTAATATTTTCAAGTGACAGTTTTTAAGGAAATGTTATTTCCTTTACCAAGCTAATTTCTAGGAATATTTCATAAAGCTTTGGCGCATGTAATGTTTTTAGCTACCTTTAGGCGGGGAGGGCAGAAGTGAGGAGATGTGAGTTGAGGAGTTGTGGTGGGATGGTGGGGGAGTTGTGGTGGGATGGTGGGGGAGTTGTGGTGGGGTTGTGTTGGCCACCCATTCAGGGCGTAAACCGACACAAGGACGCAAATACAAAAAACACTTACATCCAAGATTTTATCTATATTAATTTGCATTTCAAAACTTATTAACAATATACTAGAATTTAAAACAAACCCTCCCTGCTCTTTCTTATAAGGAATGTTAATTTAAAATATAAAGGCAACCAATACGGTCCAAATTTTAATAGGTTATAATGATGTTACGTCTGGGTGTTATTCAATGCAGAAGACTATCCGAGAAAATATTCAATACTTTATTTGTTCCCATCTTTACACATCACCCTCGTCCCTAGCCGCTACTAACTAAAAGCCCCTTACATCGTTCCGCCAGCTTTTATACCCGCACTCGACCTTGGGATAACAATACCTCAACACCCCGGAGTTAACTCAACTTACACAAGCCTCTTCCCCACGTTCTAGACTATTCTAGTCTATTCTAATCTAAACTAGAACTGACCAGTAACAAAAGATATCGTGTTAAGCTTGACTTATGTTGCACTAACCATTACAACTCATAATAATGTAATTTAATAACGATTAATATAACCTAAATGTTTATTAGCGTTAAAGCAATACCAGACTGGATGATATTGCATTAACGGCTACCCACCTTCCCAACAGTCTTGACACCGTTAATCAGACACAAGAACACCAAAATACAGGAGACCAACAGGGCTATAGTCGTGTGCCAGGGGAGGCCACCCATCGATGACATGCCAGTCGAAAGCTCTAAGACGTTATTTCTGAAAAGATAATGCATTTTACACAAAGTTATAAGACAGTAAAGTCATTTGTTTTACATTTGGTGTTCTTAACAGTAATCCCCAGAGTCTTTTTTTTTTATTTCTCATCCTTGTACATTCCTCCTTTACTAGAAAAAAAAGTCTGGAAGAAACTCTGGTGCTGACCACACTACCCTCTTGTATGCCGAGGTCCTTGAAACAGACGAACTCTCCTTCATCTGTCGCATGTGTCTTTGGGCACGAACCGGAAGCAATGATTGTCAATGTATTTTTTTTTACTAGAGTCACAATAACACAACAGTTGTATTTTGTGTGATGCCTTTGTTTTCTATCATCCAAAAAGTAAATAGTAGAGTTTCACATCTTAACGTTACACGCATGTGCAGTTGGTTAAAATATGAACGTAAAGCTCAATTTTTATTACATGACAGTTAGGCTGTATCTGCAGATACTCAACTTACAATGTTTGCGTATGTCAGATACACTGTAAGTTTTGCATGTCTACCGATAAATGGGTTGACATACTGAAGAAAGTTAGTTTGTTTTTTGTGTTAAAATGTAAATAAACAAGTGTAACTTACAACCAAAATTCTTCACTAGCAGGTCTTAGATTTGATGTGTCTAATGAGCCATTGAATGTGATATAACGTCCGTCCATTTCATGGGAGCTCTGGTTCTGACTGGTTCCATTTGTGTAGGTGGTGGTGCTGATGTTGTAGTCGTTGCTGCTGGTATTGTAGCTGTTGCTGTTGATGTTATAGTTGTTGCTGCTGCTGTTGGTGTTGTAGAAGACGGTGCTGGTGTTGTAGAGCAGGACCCGACTCCCCTGCGGCACACAGCGGTCAGAGTTCCACTCTTGTCCACACAGTGTCCAGGGGAGGGGCGACTTGAAGGAGTTGACCAGGTAGATGAGGATCCAGGCGATGAGGATGAGGCTATAACAGGAGGACACCGTGTTCACGACAACTTGGGCCACACCGATACCTTCAAAAGTGAAGAATACTTGTCTGAACGCCGAAATTATGATTAGAGGTAGATTGGTTTTTATTGTTATGAAGAATAAATAATTTCAATCGCAAAATAAAGTAAAAAAAAAACCCCACAGTAACTGAAACAGCACAAGATAAGGTAAAATATAAATGTAAATAAAAACAATAATCACACAACATCAAAACTGTATTTTTTTTAAAGTTATAGTTTACCTTTAAAAAGAGGACATATATTCCATACATGATAAGCTCCCTTGGACATAAACTGACCCATGGCAACTTCCAAAAAGTACAAAGGCAGACCAATAGTGACGAGACAAATCACAAACGGGATGAGAAAAGCTCCTGGGGAAATGTTAACGAGATTAAAAAGGGATACTGATTTTTTCAATGTTTTTTTCAAATTTACTTGAATGAGTTCGTGTTATAGCTCAGAATTTGTTGAGGGCTTTGAGAGGGAATTTATGTGGAATGAGCTTAATCAAGAAAAATCCTTCAGAGCACATGAAGGCGTGGCCTAGCGGTAGAGCACTAGACTGCTAACCAGAAAGTCTCGAGTTCAAATCCGGGTTCATGTCAGTATCTGAGTCCACCCAGCTCTGATTGGTACCTAATTCACATTAGGGAAAGTAAAGATGTATAGGCATAGTGCTGACCAATCTATCTCTTTATATGCGAAGGTCACAGAAAGTGATGAACTACTTCATCCACCTAATGGATCGATAGCTCCGAAAGGGCACTTGAATTAGGATAATTTTTGTTTACTTAACCAATAAAAAAATTCTAGATAGTTACGAATCGGATAAACAAACTTGTTTATCTTTTTTTTAACACGCTAAAATTTATATGCGGTTTTTTTTCAACGAACTTTAATCCATGGTCTTTATTTTCCAAGAACACCAACTTTTCTAACTGACCCGCAACTTATTTTTTTACTAATCAACTTACCTCCACCATTTCGTATACAAACATAAGGAAACCTCCAGACGTTTCCTAGACCAACGCTATATCCAATCAAAGACAGAATGTATTCGGCTTTTCTTGACCAGGTGTGTCTCTGTGGTTCTTTAGAAAGTTTAAATTCTCTGTCTTGTTCTTCTTCATCGTCGTTTTTAGCAAGGGCTAGACTTTGTTCATTCATTTCTTAATCGATTGTATTTACTCCGACACACGTCTTGCGTCTGTGAATAAAGAATACTAATCAAATTCCTGTTCAATTAAAGGAATGCGATTTAAAAAATAAAATAAAACATGATGCATGTTTTCTATCAATTTTCAAATTAACATGTATGCATATTTATGCAAATGGGCATAACAAAGTATTAATTATGCAGCATAACACACATCTGGTCATGTGGTCCATGTTGTTACATATCTTTACCTCGTGTTATTCCGCCCTCATTATTTCAGTACTAATCTTCACTCACATAATTTATTGTTAAAATTATTGTTATGTACTTTTAATTCAGTTGTTACTTCCTCGTATATAGAGTAGGCCTATAGATGAAGTATTGTTATCATGCAGAAAAACCACATGCAATTTTGAAAGTTTTCACAGTTTTACTTCTTAGCACATCATCAGGGAGTTTATGGGACTTATTATTTATTGGGCGAAAATTAAACTTTATCAAAATTTCGGCGTTTTACGCGTAATAGAGTCGGAAAAACTGAGCTTTGCAATAATATTGTGTCCGTAAGTGTGTATGTATGTCTATGAACACGATAGCTTGAGTACCGTTACAGTTAGGTTGTTGACATTTCATATATAAGAATTACCTCAAATGTGTAGTTCTGTATCAGAAAAACCCCATTGCGAAATGTTTTTACAAGCTTTTATTTAACTCACTTCCTCGTCAGTCTGTCGTCAGTCTGTCGTCAGTCTGTCTAGACGGAAACGCAGGAGTGAAAATTCGGACAGTTCTACTTGACCGACACGATTCACAGTTGGCACGTGGGTCAAGACATGAGGACAATGCAATCTGAAACTAAATTTGACTTAATTGGATGCCTAATTGATTTTTTATGAATTAATTAAAATTTGGACCGAATTAGTAGGCATGTCTAGCCAACCACACCACACGCGTCATCAATAGCTGCGCCATCACGACCACGTAATGGCTGCGTTCAAAAACCATTGCGCGCCTACTGAACGTGATATTCAGTAGGCGCGCAATGGTTTTTAGTCATGTAACTCTATTGTAGATAAAACATGTAAAGTACTGAAAAAAAATTCATAAAAAAACGTTTTAATAACAAGCTTTTATGTAATGATGCACTAAAAAGTAGAAAATAAATTATAGACTACTATTTAAATAACTATAAAGAAAAGCGTGGGTGTCTTCCTTAACATTTGTAAAGGTATCCAATAGATACTAAAGTGACCCACGCTTTTCTTTATAGTTATTTAAATAGTAGTCTATAATTTATTTTCTACTTTTTAGTGCATCATTACATAAAAGCTTGTTATTAAAACGTTTTTACAAGCTTTTATTTAACTCGCTTCCTCTGTCGTCAGTCGTCAGTCGTCAGTCGTCAGTCTAGATAGAAACGCAGGAGTGAAAATTCGGACAGTTCTACTTGACCGATACGATTCAAAGTTAGCACGTGGGTCAAGACATGAAGACAATGCAATCTGAAACTAAATTTGACTTAATTGGATGCCTAATTAATTTTTTATGAATTAATTAAAACTTGGACCGAATTAGTAGGCATGTCTAGCCAACCACACCACACGCGTCATCACCTTCAATAGCTGCGCCATCACGTAATGGCTGCGTTCAAAAACCATTGCGCGCCTACTGAACGTGATGTTCAGTAGGCACGCAATGGTTTTTAGTCATGTAACTCTATTGTAAATAAAACATGTAAAGTACTGAAAAAAAAATTCATAAAAAACGTTTTAATAACAAGCTTTTATGTAATGATGCATTAAAAAGTAGAAAATAAATTATAGACTACTATTTAAATAACTATAAAGAAAAGCGTGGGTATCTTCCTTAACATTAGTAAAGGTATCCAATAGATACTAAAGTGACCCACGCTTTTCTTTATAGTTATTTAAATAGTAGTCTATAATTTATTTTCTACTTTTTAGTGCATCATTACATAAAAGCTTGTTATTAAAACGTTTTTTATGAATTTTTTTATTTTAGTTTTAAATACCGCGTCTTTTGGATTCAATTATGAATAAATGTTCCTTAATATATTATTGTCAAAAAACGTAAGCTAACAACGAATTGTAACAAGGTTAAAATTTAAAGTTGAATCCAACTAACATACGTTGTGAATTAAAACAAATAATCATATAAACATGACCACCTTTTTAAATATATATTTTTAATGTAGGCTTTAAAAAGTTTTTTTTTAATTTAAATTTATTAATAAAAAAAGTTTACAATGGGATGTTTTTCGTAAAATAGAAATTGTACACATCCACCAATAAATCAACTTACCTTACAATTTGTTCAGTTGTCCGTTGGCTAATAAGCTAACAATGTTCTATATAAATTTACCTTACCATTTAAAGTGATGTAATGATTATTTTTTAATATGTTAATATAATCATGAAAAAAAAAGAAAGTATTGGCTTGAAGTGAAGGGGAGCTTCAATGGATGATCTGACGGATATAGGGACGCACGATGCACAATTTGAAGCACAAAATTGAGTGGGTTTGCACAGGTGGTCGAGTATTTTTGCTGGTAATTTAACAATATTGCAAAAAACATCACTTAATTGATTTTTTTTTAAACTGGGAGAGCCTTTCATCTGAGTGATCAGGCCTTGTAGGAAAACTGAATGGTCGTAATGCGGGTAGATTAATGTATTTGTGATGCATAAAAGTGCTCATCCTACACAGGCGATGGTAGAATCTAGCTTGACGTGGTACCATAGGCGGAGCCAGCTTTTTAATTGGTTTATGTAGGGTGGCTAGTTACAATATATATATATATATATATATATATATATATATATATATATATATATATATATATATATATATATATATATATATATATATATATATATATATATATATATATATATATATATATATATATATATATATATGTATATATATAAAATATTTTTTCTCTTTCGGGTTGGGGAGATGAAATCAATAGGAGTCGCACCAATCCACCTCCACCAAATCCCCAAACCAACGTTAATAGTAAATACGGTTATTTTAAAGACACCCCCCCCCCAACCACTCCTTCATAAAAGTCCATTTTAAAGACACCTACCCCAGGCCCAGCCTTAACAGTTTTTTATTTTAAATATCCCCCCCCCCCCCCCCCATCTACACCCCCATCCCCCTTCACATCCCTTCAACACATTTGATAGTAAACCGCACGGCGACCCATTGATGAAGATTTATTGCCCTTTTTGTCACGTGATGTTTTATTTTTACTTTTCGGTATACTATAACTCAAATCTCAAAGCGATATATATTGAGTAAAACTGAAAATCATTTTAATACTGCCAAATTAAAAACAAAAATAAACCGGGAGTTGTCTCTCCTAAGCTTCCTCGAATATTCTTATATAAAACAACAGGGGATGGGAACTCGGGATATAGACATGATTTTTAATCCATTTTAAATACTTAAACTTTTTAAAATATAATAAAATCTGGTAGGAAAAAGAATTGCACACCAAGTGAACGCCAAATAAAATGTGCATCATAGTGCGGAATATTATTAGTACTTTATAAATTTACATTAGTTTTTTTTGAGAAATTGGAAATAGCGTAAATTACTACTTTTGTTCAACGGAAATTACTCAAAATTTTACAGATGGTAGAGAATTAGATCTTTTACTTACAAGTGAAATTTTATTTATCTATCTGAAATAGTACTCAAGTTATAGGCTTTTGAAAAAATTCAAAGTAAAAAAAGGACCACTTCCGGTTATCGGAAACGCTCAAAAGTTAATCCGGATCCACGATTTTGATATTCTATTTATATATATATTATTTCATCAACCTAGCTGTAACGGTACTCAAGTTATTGAGTTTACACACACACACACACACACACACACACACACACACACACACACACACACACACACACACACACACGTACACACACACAGACATACGGACAAGATTGCAAAAATATGTTTTTCCGACTCAGGGAGGTGTAAAACGTCGAGATTACAATAATTTCTCTATACTCTGTATATACGAGAAAGTAAAAAACTTTCATGCTGTGCTTCTGTCTCCCGTAGCGCGCCGCCTATGAATGCGTCGTTCTATCAATCACCCATCTGTATCGATAGTTCGACCTCATCAAGTTAGATAACGATCTATATTTAAATGATTAGCGCTCTTATTTTCCACCCGATATATTTTTATTGCCTGATCACGGTTCAAACTCATCGATAAGGTAATGTAAAGTTTGGGTCTTTAATGGTGAAACGGCCAGATGGAGTAGAGTTCAACTGTTTCTTTGAAGTCGGCACGTGTTTTATTATTCAATGGTTTTATCAGGGGGGGGGGGGGGACGACGACTAGACCCCCCTCCCACACACACACCACAAACACCCACCCACACACACACACACACACACACACCATACATACACAAACCCGCCAGAACTAAAATAGTGGCCTTATGAGAAATGTTTACAATTTTTAGAAATGTGTAAACTTTTGAATGTTTTGATTGTTTATCTTCATCTTTTCCCGTTTGTGCCCTAGACAAATGGGGCAGAAGAAGTAGAGTTCAGCCGGGAATATTGTGGTAATCACTATACCCAGCCGCATTTGTTTCCTTAACCCGAGTTAGGTACCCATTAGAGCTGGGTGGACTCAGGGACTTCCTACAGTATTCATTGATCAAGATTTAGCGCCCGTTGTATCACGTGATATTTTTACCTTTTTTTTTACTTTTCTATATATTATATATCAAAACTTTGAAAATCAATTTAGTAAATCAAAATTAAAAAAAAAAATATTTAAAAAAAAACTTTCATGGGGTGCTTCTGTCTCCCGTAGCGCCGCCTATGATGCGTAGCTCAATCAATCACCCATCTGTATCGATAGTTCGACCTCATCAAGTTAGATAACGATCTATATTTAAATGATTAGTGCTCTTATTTTCCACCCGATATATTTTTATTGCCTGGTCACGGTTCAAA